TAACATAACACATATGATTGATTATATAATAAACATCATTGTTTAAATTATACATATAAATAATAAACATAAAAAAGAGTAAAATATTTTTCATTAATAAAATAATATTAATTATTTTAAATCATTAAATTAGACACTTATTATTGAATATATCTCATTTTTACATTAAAAATACACCATTTTCATTCTTTTCTTCTTTTATTATCTCTTTGTGATTTATTATTTTTATATTCTTCTTCTACTTTCTTTTTATTCTTTTATATATTTATATTCTTTTTATATTATTTGTTTTTCGTTGTTTTTCTATTTCTTTCTTCTATTATTTATCAATTTTATATTCATTTATTCATTCTTTTTATTTCTTTTTTATTAGTTCTTGAGTATTGTATATTTCTTTATTATTTCATTTGTGTATTATCAAAATATATGTTTTATTGATTTTATGTTGAATAAAATATTGAATAAATCAATATTTTCATTCTTAATTATTCATTCTTTATTCTGAAATGTTTTGAATATTTATTATATTAAATGAATATGATGAATGAATATCAATATTATTGTTTATTTGATTTTAAAAAATAATAAATGAATATGAAATAATAATAAGCAATTAATTAAGTATTAAAAGAAATAGCTTCTATTCTTCCTGGCTCAGGGGAGACTAATCACATCCCTTCGTCTTCTTCTTCTAGCAGCTCTACGGAGTATATTTGATTATTATTAAAGCAATGTTCAATGACATCATTCATGTGTTTTATGACAAGGTTTTTTACTTCTTTCTCGATGTCAATTTCAATTTTTATTTCTTTAATTAATCTAATGCTTTCTTTATTTATTAATCCATTTATTGAGATTACTACTGGATTTATTCTGACATCTTTTAATTTCTATTTTCATTAGCCTATTCTTTAATTAATTGTACATATTTCTTTTCTTCAAATATTCTCCATTAATATTGTGATCAGCAACAATAGTCATATCAAATATTAGACTAGTTTTATTCTTTTTATCTAATACATATATGTCTGGTATTTTGTGGTATTGTCCATCACTTTTATGCATTATTTGTTTGTTCAATATCATAGTGATGTCTTTATATTGTAACATTGTTTCATATGGTGGTTTTTATATTGATTATTTCCTGTGTATTTTCTTATTAATCAATATGATAATACCTATATTGTCATATTTTTCCATTTGTGATTTTTTATGATAAATACAAGATATTAGAATGTGTTTTATTGTTGTTATCTTGTCTTTACATAGTGTGCAGTATTTCAATCTTTCATTTTTCATTATTTTTGATTTTCTATACCCACAAAATATTGCTCCATCTTGCATTTTAGGTAATTAGAAAAATGTATTTTTCTTAATATTGATTGACTTCCATGCTTTCACTGTAGTAGTTTTATCTACTCATTTTGACTCAAACCATCTTCTAAAATGTCACTTATTTGATGACACTTCCATTTTTTGATGTATTTGTCATTAATTTTTTATTTCTATTACTACTTCTTTTTCTTTTTTCTTTTCAATACTTTCATTTATTATTTCTTCTATTTTTGTTTCATTTATTTTATGAATTGGTGGTTTTAATTCTATTCCATATTCCATTCTTACTGTACTACCTATCTAATATGTTATTTCAAATTTCACTTTCTCTGGTACAGTAGTACATCACTATTCTTACTATTTCATTAACATATTCGTCAATGATGTTTATTAGTCATTCATTTCTTCTAGAAGGACATATAGCCGATCTTTGGAGTTGAATCATTATATTTTGCCTTTCTTAAATATTTTCTTATCTCCAAATCAATTTTATCTAGGTCAGTGATTTTCCAATTTACAACTGATGCTGAATATCTGAAGATATTGATTACTTCAGTGTTTATTCTAGTAATATATCTTCTATTACTGCTATCATCAGTGTTTATTTCTTCCATCTTCTTCATCATTTTTTCTTTGATGGTTTTACAATTGAAGGTGTCATCAATTTCGTCGGACTGCCATATTCCTAAGTATTTATACAAGTCATCACCTTCAACTACGGGGATGTTTTGCATTCTGTTTGGTATTTCTTTAATGTTTTTTAATACCATTCCTGACTTTTTTTCATTCATTTCCATCCCTATTCCACTTATTATTTCTTTAATTTCACAGTGGATTATTCCCATTTCTTCATTACTTTGTGTCATTATTCTCAAATCATCCATATATAAAGTGTGATTTGCTTTTGGGAATTTCTCTTCAATGATTTGAGAAATTACATTCATCTGTATGATGAAGAGTAGATTTGATAAGGAATCACCTTGTAAAATTCCTCTGTTTAATTTAATACATCCTAGATATTCATTAAATTTATAACCGATGAATATCTTCAATCTAGTCATCATACTTTCAATAATGTCAATGATGACACCCTCATAATTAAAATACTTTAATGATTCGATTACCCATTCGTGGTTTACTGTGTCATATGTTTTCTTAATGTCATAATATGACTCCACATATTTTGTTTATTTTTCTTCTTTCTGCTGCTTTAATATATAACTATTAATTATTCCTTCTTTAGCAGCTAAAGATTGCAACTTACATCCCAATTGGTTGCTACTGATTTTAAATGATTCACAATTCATGTTAAGTCTTCTGTGAATCTTTTCTTTTAATATTGAGGTAAATACTTTCATAATTACATTTGTACAACTGATAGGACGATAATTAGTGACGTCGTTCCTATCACCTCCTTTGTGGATTAATAAAGTTCTTCCACTTACCATGTCTAATGGGATGTTTTCAGGGAAGTTCAACCATTCGTTAAAGATATTGAGAATGATTTCTCTTGATG